TATCGGCGGCATATTCGCCGATACCGATATATCGGCGAATAGTCAAAAGCACAAAGGCAGAGCTCTGATATACAGCATTAAAGTTACATAAAATATAACATGATGAGATTTTGCCCAGACTATTTGCTCTGGAACAAATAATAGATTAATGATACATTAGACCAGTGTTTCCCAACCGGGGTGCCATGTAAAAAAAATCATTTTATAATATTTTTAAATTGTTAAAAACTTTTTATCACTGTTTTCGCATCTAAGGGAAATGAAAGATTTCATGGCCATGAATTATGCATATTTATCACATTTTCTAGCGGGGCATATATCAGCGTTGCACTCGTGTCTCGCACAAGAGAGCGGCATGTTTAGAAAGCCATGTAAAATTAATGTAAGTTATATTGATATATCGGCCGATATTCTTTGTGTATATTATAGTACAGTACCAGTCAAAAGTTTGGACACTTTCCCATTCGTGTGTCCAAACATTTGACTGGTACTGCATATAGAATACAGTATATACATAAACAGAATATATATACATAAAGACATTTTTTGCAATGATCACTCAAATGTGGTGATCAAACACTGACGCTGACGTGACAGCCCACCAAATTCGGGGGATCCCTTCAGCTCGAGGAGCCCTCTCGAACGCCAGCCTCCACGCGTCGGTAGCCCCCCGAATTTAACCACCCGTATCTCCCGAACCCCGGGGGCTATCGACGCGGGGGTGGTCTCATTCGAAAGCGGGCCTCTAGATTTTTTTTTTAATAAATTATCTTTTAACAAACCAAATATTTGAAGTCTAAACAAGTACATTATTGTCTAAAAAACTCTTAAAACTACATTCCGTGACACAAAAACAGTATTACTTATAAAATTTTTGTGGATTGGGGCGTCCGCCAACTCACTCGCTGTGAGAAATACTGGAAGCAGAGTGATACAAATGGTGAAACAGTTGGAGCTGTGTTATCACTAGAATATCACACTCCTCTCAGCCAATCAGATTCGAGGACCAGAAAGAACTGTTGTATATGTATGTTTTCTTTCCTTAGTTGCTGTTAGTAAATTGCAAGTTTGAGTTAGTTAAAATGTATTTTTATATTCATATACAAAAAGTGGTTCCCTCAGTGCATCCTTTTTTTTTTCTTGATTTCTTGCTTGCTCGTGTCTTTGCTTTCTATATAATAAAATTATATAAAGTTATGAGACCAGATTAAGACTGGAATATGTTCTTGGATGAAGGTTTTGGCCCTTCCACCCATCACTCAGAGCTAAGCACAGCTTCTGGCTTGTCATTACCATCCCAACCAACAGTATGTACTTGAAAAAGCTTGGCTAATGGCAACAGAAAAAAGCCTGTGGCAATTTACCCAAAACAAATTATATCTCATGTTTAACCACTATAGAGACAATCAGAGCCAGCGGCAAATTCTAAGAAGATCTGGCCGAGGTGAGGCTGCTCTTGGTTGGTTCATGAGCGCTGAACACCTGCAGATGCCTTGGAGCTCACATCTCCGAAAATGTTGAAGCAAATTTTTTTTACTTTTACAATTTTTACATTTTTTTTTTTATAAATTATCTTTTAACAAACCAAATATTTGAAGTCTAAACAAGTACATTATTGTCTAAAAAACTCTTAAAACTACATTCCGTGACACAAAAACAGTATTACTTATAAAATTTTTGTGGATTGGGGCGTCCGCCATGACACTCGCTGTGAGAAATACTGGAAGCAGAGTGATACAAATGGTGAAACAGTTGGAGCTGTGTTATCACTAGAATATCACACTCCTCTCAGCCAATCAGATTCGAGGACCAGAAAGAACTGTTGTATATGTATGTTTTCTTTCCTTAGTTGCTGTTAGTAAATTGCAAGTTTGAGTTAGTTAAAATGTATTTTTATATTCATATACAAAAAGTGGTTCCCTCAGTGCATCCTTTTTTTTTTCTTGATTTCTTGCTTGCTCGTGTCTTTGCTTTCTATATAATAAAATTATATAAAGTTATGAGACCAGATTAAGACTGGAATATGTTCTTGGATGAAGGTTTTGGCCCTTCCACCCATCACTCAGAGCTAAGCACAGCTTCTGGCTTGTCATTACCATCCCAACCAACAGTATGTACTTGAAAAAGCTTGGCTAATGGCAACAGAAAAAAGCCTGTGGCATAGTTGCTGTTGTAAAGTTTTTATTTAGTCTTAGTTCAGCTGTTCTATCTCTCTTTATCAAGTATCCCAAAGGAAGGAGGATGTGACTCTGTCTTTTTATATTACACATCTAACAACAAATCTCACATATTCACATCATGTTTAGTCTAAAAGCTGGATGTGCTTTGCAGGCCAGCAGATTTGAATGCAAAAGCTGGAATTTCTCACACAGAGCAGCGTTCCGTTGGGAGTCTCAGTATTCTGAGATCATGTGTTTGGAGTTTTGTTAGAACAGATTGGTTAAGAGACATTTTGTGAAGAACGAGAAAACCTTTTACCTTTAACCCTGTGAATATCATTCATAAGACATTGTTTATTTATAACTCAAACTACTCTAGTAAAATGAGTTTTCAATATCATATCAACAGCATTATCATGAGTTGTATGTCCTCAGCCTGAATTGATTTTTATTGTTGTTCACAAGCGCAGCCCTAGTTGCTTAAGTCCATGTCTATAATACACAACAGTTTTACCAGTGGGTGGGTGTGAGGCCCTGGTCTTCCTACCTTTGGTCCGTACACACAATGACAGGATGTATTTGTTTGTCAGCATGGTCCTGAGCAGGAAGAAGGCCTTTGTGTTTGACTTTTCATTCAACAGGACTTTAAAGGGCATCTAGTACAGCAGCAGGAGAGATCCAGCCTAGCCTAGAACTTAGATACAACAAACATGCTCTTAAATGTAACTCTTCCATTTAGGAAAAAAGCTATGCCACCTGCAGCTGCTGGGGTATTAATAGTTTTCTAAAGAAGTTGAAAGAAGCTAATCTCTAGTTTTGAGTAAAGGACCTTCTTATTGTATGTGCTTTTTGCAGCAGTCTGAGGTCATTTGCTGTTACGTGTATGTCACGAGCTTGTGGAAAAATAGGATACACCCACACTCACTCACACTGAAGTCAGAGCCAGGCAGCACCACAGTTGAATATGTCCACTTACAACAAGACAGCTGCAAAGGTCAGGGAAGGTCGTAAGGGCTGGGCAGTAAGAGAGGCCTTTCTTCGCTTGTGTGTGTTGAGTTTATAAATATGATATGTGTTGCACAGAAAATTCCACCAGGGCATGAAAACTTAAACTAACTTGCCTTGTAAAAATGTTTTCTGGCTCCACCACAAAAATAAAAAAAATAAAATAAAAAAAATAAATAATATATTTTCTTTACAAAAAAGAACCAATAACTTGGTTTCAAAAAATTTTTTTTTAAATTTTATATTAAATTATTATAAATTACACCTTTTTTCTTGGAAAATCATGGCTCTCAAGTGAAACATTACTGACTGGTTTATAAGATTGAGCCATCCTTGGCCCATATATACGTGGCACAAGAAACCCATCTCAACAAGCTGACAACTTCTCTGTAAACCAGTAGCATGGAAATTATAACCCCACAAATTCACAAAAGCCCAGCAAAAATCCTGTGGTCTCAGCCCAGAGTATCATGTGTGGAGTAAAAGTAATGGAATGTGAGGGTTAGATGTTTAGTTCAGCTTGTGTGTGACTGTTTGCCTCGTCACAGCAGATGTGTGCAATGTGTTCTTCTGAGTGTCAGTCAAGTCCTTTTTGGCTGGCACCGTTCTTGCGATCCTAATTAGAATCGCGTGCCAGTGACAAAGTTTTAATGAAGCTCTCCTACAGCTCCACTTGTGTTTCTGAAATTGTGAGGGGAGGGAGGCTTATTAATGAGAGATGGAATTTATTTGCAAAGTATCAGATTCAATTTTTTAATGAAAAGCCATCAAAGCTTGTCTCACTTATATCTCTGTTTCTGTAGGATGGCTCTCTGGGTAATGTAGATGACCTGGCTCAAGAGTACTCCGAGTACTACAACACATACTTCAGCGAAGTCAGCGATCGGATGGAGGAACTACGTAAGCGGCAAGTCTCTCAAGATCTAGACATGGTAAGTTCAGTCTGAAAGGTTTGCTGCACATACAGCCTAAATTGTACACTTGCATTTCTACAGCTGTGGATGTGTTTGTTTTCTAGAATGACCAACAATTTCATTAAATCGCTTGTCACTAGAAAATTCTTAAGATTTGTTTATACATACTTTCACCATGGATTTAGTTCATCTTGGCATGTTTACTGCCCTGGCATTTAATCCAAATGAGTGAATCTGGCAGTCATTAGCACTGTGAAACACGTTTTTGGGTCAGGTGGAATTTGAGTTTTTTTTCTCATTTAAAAAGTTTTAGCCCTTTAGTCACATGGTTCGCTAAATATGGCTATCATATCGGCCACGGCACCATAAAAAAACAACAACTGAGTATGCCATTTAACCTTAATGTACTGAAACGTTTTCTGCAGAAGTTGTTTTGCTTTCTGAAAAGCATTTATTTTCAATTCTTAAAAGTTGTTATCTTGTTTATAGTTTTTGATTTTGGGGTAAAACAAGTTGGCAAAACAAACTTCACTCTCTGACCTACATACTATTTTATACACTTGAGTTTTAATAAATTAGAAAATTGAATGCTAAAGATATTAGCACTGTATGGTTTACTTGTTTTTGCAGTAACAGTTGTTTTAGTCATAAACCAGTGCAATAGTTTCTCTTCCATCTATGTTCCAGGGACAATGAACCACAAGCACAGTTAATTACAAAATTCATTTATTTCTTTCATCACTTGGTGCTACAGAATGGCCATTGCGAACCTATGAGCTAACAGAAGGAAACGCTTGTCTTAAACCATTGCAAAATGAAGACAAATGCGTTCACCCCCTGCCCTCTCTCCATACGTGTTTGGATTGTCTGCGGTTCTGTCAGTGCTCTGCGTTTCTCGTCTGCATCTCAAAGCGTCTGTGTTCTCAGGGATGTAGGGTAGTGGGTCACCCAGGGTTGCTAAGAAACCGCCGGATTCATTATAACATGCAGCTGGGGTTGGCACGGTCCGGTGAGGGGATTTTGAGAGAAAGAAAGAAAAAACATTCTGAAAGTCATGCTCAGCCGTGGTGATTGCCTCAGACAGGATCCAGTCATTCTCAAGGTTTGGAGAACATTAGGTGCGCTATTGTGTTGAATTGTTTCAATGGATTTTCTCTTGGAGTTCTGGAATGAACAATTCAGAATTCCAC